AAAAAAAAAACAGCAATCCAGTAAACAAAAAATGAAAAAATAAAAATTGAAGGACAGAATAATAAACTCAGCTCTATAAGCAATGTGTAGTTGAAACCTTTTTCTGATAATAACATATCTACTTCTAAGCCTTGTTTGGCTACTGTTTATAAACGGTTAAACAACTTTTTATCGATATATATTTCGTAGAACCTACAAGTACTATCCACTTATCCATCATTTATTTCCATCTATTTATAATTTAAACTTTTTATAAACAACTCTAAAACATGCTTTACATAATCCACCAAAATATATTAACAACAAAGGTACAGAAAGAAAAAGGGGAAGGAGTGAGAAATGCAAAGGAAATGAAATATGGCCACAAAGCATGGAAAACCAACTGTAATAGAAATTTATACCGCATCAACAGACGCCTCAGCAGGACCTTTAATAGTAACCAAGGCAGTTTCAATGAGACGACGATAACCTTGCTCAGGTGCTATAAGATGAGGCTGATATCCATCTGCTTCAGTTATTAATTTCCGAACATTTTCCATCGCAAGATGCTTGTCAAACTGCAACCTTTTCAATGCAGCAGGCAGTTGATTATCGAAGACGTTATATATTTTATCACCACCTGATCGACTGCAGAATTTCATGATAATAAAATGAAAATAGGATGGACTGAATCATAAAATGAGATCATACATTAGAAAGATGGGCAACGAAAATTTAAAATCCATACACTCCGTCTAGATGTTCTTTGAATATTCCATCAAAGATGCGAACGATTTCCATAATCATGTACAATTTTCCCTGCATTGACAGTTAAGGATAAAAAAGATCAAAATGCTTCATGCAGCAATCACAGCTTTGAAGCAAATGTAACATCCTAAACTTTCTTTTAACCATAAAAGAAAGCATGCTTATTAAAAAAATAATAATAAATCTAAAACTAATTCATTGAAAGATCATGAACATAAATTTGAAAAGGAATACTTACTCCAGCATCAGTAGCAACGGGCCTCCCCAGACGACTCGACTCAGATTCTAGCTCAATGATAGTTTTGTTAATAAGTGACTGCAGTCCCGGAATTCGAGATTTGATAATGGACTCCAAATGCTAGAACATAAAGCAGCAGTCATCAGCAAATTTATACTGATAGTGACACCGACAATATGTAAATCAATTAAGAAATGCATGCATATCACAAATTTATTTTTTGTACGGCAATAAAAAAGAAGCTTCAGAGAATGAAAAAAATTGAAAATATGGATGCATTTTCCATGTTTCTGGAAATAATGGAAAAGGCAAAAATTTCCTACATCCAGACTCCAGTATTTTATCAGCTGGACATAGAATGCAAAAGTGTACCACAAAATGTCTAATTGACATGCTTTCATAACAGGTTTCTCAAGTGAAGATTCTAACAAAAAACTAGCAAAAATTCATTTCGTTTTAGTTAGCTGTCCCATAGATTATTACGGAAAGTTTTCTGCAAGGCACAATATTTGCTTACTTTGGACATAACTTTGCCAAGATGCTCAGAACCCATCCTGTGAGCAAGATGTTTATACTCTGGGGTTTGAGCAAAATATTCCCGCTCCCTACGCCTAGCAGCAATCATGTCGACATTTTTGTTGATGTCTGCTTGAGAGCGATTAACAACACCTATCCACGGGAACTGCAGCTTATACGCCTTTCCCTCCAGGATCTACGGATCACAGAAACACAAGTCAGGAAATGCACCCTTTAGTCCTTAAAAGTTAGGAAAATCATTTTCTACTTTTCTACACAAACTTGTTAAAGTTAAAATTTAGATCTGCGTACAAAAAATGGTTTAGGAAAGATTTAGCCGAACAAGCAGCAAATGTTTGTACGAGTGAAAAGTTTTGCAACCCATTTAAAGCAGAAGAATGTCTCATAAACAAATTTAAAATAAAGCAAAAAATGTATGCCCATCAGAAAACATGATTATGTTAAAAGTAGCTATAAAAAAAATAATTCATAGTGCATGAAGAAAATGAAAATTGAGCACACAAACTTAAAACAGTTATGCTTTCTTGTCATTTTTGCACTTCCTATAATATGAGTTACTTGCTAAAAGTGTGGATATTTTCCAAGAGAATATGACACCAATTATGGATAAACCTAGGAAATTACAGATTAGGTGGATGGAGCATGTCTAGTTTAGATGTTTGAAGAGCTCTTGTTCATAAGATGATAGAACATTAGTAGAACAGATAGAAAGGAGAGGTAGACACCAGACTAAATGCAGCTAATGTGGTTGTAAAAGATGAGATTTTATTGGAACTTTCAGTAGAGGTAGCACTTATTAACCTGAGTTGCGAAAAATGATTCCTGTTACCAACCCAAGTCCATAAATACAAGCCTTAACTTGTTGCTTATTATGGTTTTTCCCACAAGTATCATTATAAGATAGCAATATCAACTTACATCAACAGCATCAGTACCCTTGTCCATAAGATCAATCTTCGTTAGAACTCCAAATGTTCTTTCTCCTGGAATGAGATCATCACAAAGCCAACAACAGTGCAAACGGAACTAATCAGTACTAAGTGGGAGTGTAAGAACAGACTAATCTTATATTAAAACTTAAGCATACTGATTTTAAACCCCAATAACCATGTCCCCCACACTATATGACAAATGTCATACCTTTTGGGTCTACTTCACGAGAAATCTTGATAGCATCTGATGTTGCAAGATCTTGATTGGCAGGAGAAATAGCCAAAATAATACAGTTTGGCTGCAGTGAATTAATTTAACCAGCAAGTATTATTTAACTAAACTTGTCTTAAACTAAAGTCTAAAGAGTAATAGCTTATCATTATATTATAATTGTAATTTCTCATAACTTCATTCACAAATTTTATGGTAAAAAAAACCTCAAACATAGAATACCTTCTCAATATAAGTCCGGACCATGTTCTCAATATCATGCACAATGCTTTCAGGCTGACCCTCTATGATAAACCAGCAATGAACCAATCAGGTTGTGTGATAAAGGAATGTGTGACAGAAAAGATTAAAAACAAAAAAGTAGGGGATGTAAACTGACCAACAGCCACCTTCGTAAGTCCAGGAAGATCGATCAGGGTCAAATTTACAACTGCAATAATCAGAAATGTACAAATTACTCATTGCAAGCAAAATACAAAAAGAGTAGCACGCCAGAAACGGACAACAAAACTCTGGTCATTATTTGAAAGCATAACTTAGCAAGCCAAAATGTAATATTATTTATATAGAATAACTAAGAATAAGAATTAAGCCCCATTTTTTCCCATTCTTTCACATTATTTTTTCCTACCGTACTCATTTTCAACCACACATTCGTCATTAAAATAATATTACACAAAAAAAATATATACATATTCTTCTTTTTAAACCATACATTTCCCATCAATTTACTATTCCATAATACATTACAAGAAATTAATGGGGCTCAAACAAGGCCTAAGAGAACAACTGCAACTTCAAGACACAAATGCATAGATAACAAAATAAAGACCACACACATATATACATGTAGGATGGGTGCCAACACTTCATCACGAAAGAAAAGACTCACTAACTAATACTAATCTAATATAATACTAAAAAGGGAAAAAAGAGAAAAAAGGGGGGGGGGGGATTAGTCACAGATATTTGATTGTATCTCTAATCTTCTTCATTCCTTCCCATGTCTATGAACAACTAGGCAATATTCAAGTACCTAAAAGGGTTAGCTATATCAGAGTCATTATGTTGGAGTTGAGTCGTATAGCTTCCCATTTGTTATTGCTTGGTCCTTTTATGACAGATATTGGGGCACAAAGCCCGTTTGGAAATTTCCCGAAAAGCTAATCATAGGGAATGATTGGGATGAGGGTATAAAGGTCTTTATGACACAATTGATAATTCGTTTAACCGAGCTCAATCTAGTGTATCATAAGGGGTTTACCTTTTCTATTGATTCCTACGGATTGGATCAAAAACAATTCTTGTATGAGGCCTCTAAGATTTCAACTCTTCCGTATTTTAGCAGTAACATATTATTCCATGGAGCTAAGGTACCCAAGAGCTCACATCGACGAAAAGGTTTGGCACCTCAATGTCGGCTCTTCGCCACCTGGGGTTGTAGTATATTCCAAGGGTTGGGCCGTTCACCTGTTCCTACGCAGCTTAGGTGGAAGGCGAAGAAGGCCTCCTTCCCTGGAGGCCCGGGCCATTAGTGAGATATATATCTCCAGAAACTTTCTTTAATTGTTTACCTGGTTTACACATGCTGAATGTCCCACATAATTACATGCCTTGCATGGAATCACTATTTATTGTTCTCTATTAATTTATCTATTTTTTTAAGGGAAAATGTAGGACGAGAGGGTCAAAATGTTATCTGGTGGTAATACATTAAATTCATACATATTGTCATGCTTCATCAGAAGCATTTTCATTTTATTTCTGCTCTACTTCAACTAACAAGGTTGCAATTCTCAGATTTCATAATGTTGATTCAATATATTGTGCACAGGGAATTGAATCTGCAAAATGAAAAAATGACCAGTAATCCTTCCTGTCTCACCATTAGGGGAATAAATACTGAGATAAATTGGAACACTAGAAATTTGTTTGCTACGTCCTGTCTCTCGATCAGTCTCATCAGCGATCTCCTTTCGCACAGCAGCTGCACAGAATATACCAGTGATTAGTCTCTAGAATGAAAACAAAAGAAATGGTAAATATAGTTGCAAACATTTTGGATCACCCAAGATTAACACATTCGCCCATAATACCATCATACGTGTTTATATTTCTTGATTGGTTGACACTGCTGTCAACATAGAATTTGAAGAAAAGTGGTTTTAAATTGTTATCAGTTACTTTTAATGATATTATAAACTAAATGATCTTATATCCTCCATCCATATTGAGGAAAAAGTAGATAGAGAGAAAAAACCAACTTGTATATTTGTAACAAAGGAAAATTAAGATTCCAAAGCTTATATATATGAGAAAATACAGTAATATGGAAATTATTGTCTTATGCTATTCTGTTGTCAACCAAAAATGGAAGAAAAGCTTTCACTAGAAAGCCATCATGTTATCATAAGATTTATCATAACTCTTGTCAGCATTCTCACTAAAGATATATCCAGATCTTGTCACTGAAAAGCTTCTCCGTTCAATCTACAAAATAGATTTCATGGAAAACCAACTACATCCTAGCGTGGTTAGCCTTTGACCACGAGTCATTCCTAGTTCTACATAAATATATTTCTCATTAAATTTCCCAATCAAGAAATCTTTAGTGGTGACTAGTGCAGGTGCTATTCAAGAACAATTACACATCTGAATTGTTGCAGCAAATTATTTGATGAAACGGAGAGCAAAACAAATCAAAAATCAGTAAAATTGTCAGTTGATTTCAATTAGAATACCAAATTCAATTCCAAAATTTCAATCAGATTACTAAATTCCAAATAGTTGCAGCCAAGTTATTAAACTTAAGTTCAATTTCAATCAAATCTCTCTAACAAACATTGTGGGAAAACAACATTTACTCAATAACAAATTCCCTACGTCAACACTGTGACATGTTCCCTTCAGGTAGGATTGATGGAATGATGCGATTGAAATAAAAATAGAAGTTTGATAACTTGATTGCTAAAACAGAACTTCGGCAACCTAGTTGAAATTGGGTGATAACTTTAGTAATTAATGGGCCTTTTTGCCAATAATGGTGTATTTAGAGAGGGGGGGGGGGGGGGGAATAGAAAAAGAGAAAAAAGCTCATTGGGAAACGATGGAAAGATTGAAAAGTGAGTCTCAAGAAGCCCTTAACCAATTTATTCAAACAAAAATAGAACTTTAACAGTTGATTCTGTGTCTATCACAAGTTTTTCCCCTAAGTTTAGTCCATGTTCTCAGTAGTTCTTCACGGTAATAATACAGCGTCGAGGGTTTCCAACAGTAAAATTAGCAAACATTAACAATTATATGTGAATACTTGAGAGGGTTGTTCAAGGCCAACTTATGCCGTTAAATAGAGTGCCCACCCAGCATAAATTAGGCATCCAAATTTACATTTTCGTGGAGCAGCGTGATATTTGTTTACATTCTTATAATTTGTACAAAATCCAACGTAGGTTTTGACTGACTAAAGGGGGTTGGCAAAACCCAAAAATCAACATTTTCGTGGAGCAGCGTGATATTTGTTTATATTTTTATAATTTGTACAAAATTCAACGTAGGTTTTGACTGCCTAAAGGGGGTTGGCAAAACCCAAAAATCAAGTGGTGATTCATTAAGTAAAAAGGCATACAATTATTAGCAACTTAATATGACTGCCATACAAGCTATGGCTGTTAAGGAAGTAAAGTTCCTGACAATAAAATTACAAAAATATATATATTATAAAAATAAATAAATAAATAAATAAAATGAATAACAATTAATGAAAACTCACCAAAATCAGTGAACCTTTTTCTCGGAAGATGTCCAAACTCAGCATATTCTCTACCTTCGTCAATGCGATGAAGCTGTAGTACAAGAGGACGTCGAGTAACAATGCCTGCATATTTTGCATAAAATTAAACTTGATAACTTCAGTTGTCCATGTGGCAACGGAGAAGGTAATCTAAAAAACATGTAACCAGAAACATGTGGAAGCAACATTGAGACTGCTATTTACCAGATCCACGAGGCAAAAAGTCCTTTCCAACAATGCTCTCGAGTACTGAAGATTTTCCAGAACTCTACAAATTGAATAACAATGAAATCAGTTTCCACAAAATGTAAATGACTAATCAAAGAAATCTTTCAAATAGAGGACAATTTTTTTCACAAGAAAACAATTACTATATCAAGATCAAAGATAGAAATATAGAACCTCACTACAGTTGATCTATATTGCATATTCAAAATGCACCCAATAAGGTGAAATAAATACAGAATCCCATGGAAATCACACCATAAAATCATATCAACATGCTCTCATCGTCCTTTGGATATGAAATGGGAAATATCTACAACGTCCAGAAAACCTTTCATTTGTATCTAAAAGTGATCCTCTACATGTAGAAATACCAAAACTTTTATATCAGTCTCAAGTCCTTAAACAGTTTTCAACCTAATGATCGCGTGTCTATATCAAACCAAAATTCACATAAACATACATCAAAATGAAGAAATTAGCGGCTACACATTAAAAATACCAGGACAACGGAAAATTTAAGCTGAAGGGTGAAGGCTAACTAACGTCAATTTCAGCTAAAATTGAAGATCTGAATACTAATTAATATAGATAATTAACATAAATAGATAGTTCTCCACCAAGATCTACATCAACTAACAATATGACTGAAAAAAAAATTAAAAAAAAAAAATCACATCGTTCTTAGCTCATACGAATCAATAGAACAATATACAAATTTTTGAAATAGGATAATATTTACAAAAACTAACGAAGAAATTAATGAAATTCTCAGACCTGACCACCGACAACGGCTATGGAAGGCAGCGCATCCCAGAGAGTAGGCAGAGCGTTGTCTTCTCCATTATCTCCGAGTGCAGTGCAAGCTCTCTGCAGTCTGTTCACCAACGATATCAAACTTTCCATTATTGTTCCTTAATTGAACTCAATCCTGAGCCAAAGATGAATGAGGATCACCGGAGTGCTGACGATCCACCGACTACTATCCGATCTCCTTCTATGCAAGGAAATTGATCGAGAGAATCTAGAGAGAGAAAGGAGCGTGAGTAAAGTAGGTGTTGAATCGGAAAAGAAGGTTTTAGAAATTTAAACGCAGAACCGCGTGGACGTCCGTCGTTCAGCGGGCGTGTACTGTTAAATTTTAATGCTTCGAGTTAGCCCCTCGTCCCAAACATTATATTACATTCCATTTTTCTCTTTTTTATTTTCAATCATACAATCTTTTATGAAATAATATAACACATAAATCAAAAAAATTTCATTCTTTTTTAACCACTTATTTTTCAACAAAATATTATTCCCCTATTTTCATTTCTAGAAAATAGGGGCCAAACGAAGGCATAATGTTCATTTTCAATGGTTATTGAATGAAGTCCATATTTTTTATTGATAATTAAAGTTTAAAATATCGAGTTTTGATCACTGAATTTAGATACATATCTTCGATTGCTCATTGAAATTTAAAATATCGAGTTTTGATCACTGAATTTAGATCCATATTTTCAATTGCTCGTTGAAATTTAAAATATTTAATTTTGACCACTGAACCTTAAAAAATGTTGTACATTACTCACCGAACTTTGAAAAATATTGTACATTACTCACTGTAAATTCGATATTTTTCAAAATTCAATAGTTATACTAGTGAGTAACGTACAGTATATTTCAAAGTTCAGTGATCAAAACTCATCATTTTAAATTTCAGTGAGCAATCTAAGACATAGACCTAAGTTCAGTCAACAATCTAAGACATTCACCTAAGTTCAGTGACCAAAACTCGACATTTTAAACTTTAGTGACCAATTAAAGATATAAATCTAAATTCAATGAGCAATCTAAGATACGAACCTAAATTCAGTAATTAAAACTCGACATTTTAAACTTTAGTGGCTAATTAAAGACATAAACCTAAGTTCAATGACCATTGAAACATTTAACTCCACTTCAACGAATAATTGAGCCTTTGTACGGCCTCAATTTTTAAAATGAAAATTGGTGAAACGGTATTTTTTTAAAAAAATGAATTATTAAAAAAATAAAAATAAACATTTTCGATTTACGTGTAATATTATTTTATGGAATGAAAATTGGTGAAATAGTATTTTTTAGAAAAATGAATTATTGAAAAATAAAAAGAAAAGTTTTCCATTTACATGTAATATTATTTTATAAAAATATTGTATGATTGAAAATACGATAGAGAAAAAATGAAATGTAATTTAATGGGAGCCAAGCGAGTTGTTGAAAATCAAAATCACCGAATTCGTTATAGTCTTTCCTGTGATACTCCAACCTCCCATGAATTGGTTATTATTAATAGATTTTTATAAGAATTGATGAAGTGTATGATTAAAAATTTATAAAAGTAATAGATCTTATGAGATGTGTTTGAAATTTAATTATTGAGTTTGATTTAACTTTTTTAATAGTCGTTTTCAACCATGTTTTTCAAAAAAATATTTTTCAATTTCTCGTATCTTTTTCTTACGATTAAATCAACCAATGGCCGCCGAAGTTTATACATAATATCATCATTGCCAAACAATTTGATTTTATTTCAGGATAATCACCCAATTTTTATACTTAATGTTTTTCATGATCATCGAACTTGATTTTATTCCACCGTTTCACCGTGCCCACTCAGCGTTTTTTTATTTTAAAAAATATTTTTTATTTAAATAATTGTTTTCTAATTAACGCTATTTTCCCTCCAAAATGGGGTTCAAACAATGGCTAAGTTTTTATCTCGTTAGAAAAATATTTTTTAAATAAGTTTTTATTTTATTTTGTAAGGTGAATAATTATTTTATTTTATTTTTGGCTTATTAGCACAAAATGCCCCTAAGTTTGGCTTTTTGTGTGCAAAATATTCATACGTTTCAAATTTTTACATTTTCATCCTTATTTCCACGTTTCATTGTGAAAAATGTCTTTTTCATTAATTTTCTCAATTAAAAATTACAAAATGACAACTGTACCTCATGTTCAAAGAAAAGAAAAATAAAGAATAAACTATAATCATACTTCCAATTTTTTCAAAAAAAATACAAATAAGTCTCAAATAAATTAAATTAAAAATTAGAAAAAGAAAATCGTCTTCTTTCTAGCTCCCCCCTCTCCTTCACCCATTTCCCACCTAATTGCTCCATTATCGCAACAATGGCACCCTTTTTGCAATCAAGAACACCATAGCCTTCCTCTTCTTCCCTCTGTTCGACTCCTATCGTACGCCCTTTTTGCATTTTCTTTGATACTACATTATAGGGTCACAAATTCCAGTTGTGAGGGCAAAGATTTGCAACACCTTTATGCCCTTGTTGAGTTTGATAATGATGGAAGGAAAAATCGCCAGCTGGATTAAATCGGAACACGATGTTTTGTGAAAGGATGAATTTATTGTTGTTGTGGAAACTGATAAAACTAATATAGATGTTGAGACGTTCTACAATGGAATATTGGGGGGCAATTGTTATTAACGAAGGAGAGATGGCTCCTGTTGTTGCGACAATTAGAATGTTAGCAGAAATGGGGGATGAATAGCTTAAGCGAAAGCTAAAGCTACATCTAAATTCTCCACGGCCTTCGCTCCTTCAATGCCAAAGGTTGAGGAATCCCCACCTGCCTGTTGGGAATCTACTTATACATTCACAGCAGAATTTAAAATTATTTTGATTCCCATCCAATAGATCTCATTGTGTTTGGTTAGGAATTGTGATAAGATTGTACCTTTTCCAGATCTGCAATCCTTTTGCTTTTCTTTTCGTTCCACAACTTTGATTCGCCACCACAACTGTCCAATTGTCCAGCCTCCAACGGTGATCCACACAGAGAATATGATTGCAGCCTCTAGGGTTTTCTCTTGTGCTAACAAGAATAATGAAAACCTTAATGGACCTCAAACCCTAGTTTGTTATTTATATAAACTCAAACAGGCTCGGCCCGATCCAGTCCAATAATTAATTAATCCAATTAATTAAACCCGGTCCGTGAATTAATTAATCCAATTAATTAATTCAAAATATAAATAACAAATCCAATTAATTAATTTATCCAACGATTGTTAAATTAACCAATTGGCAATTTGCAATCTTCCAATTCTCTTTTGTGTGTGACCCATTAGGTTCCCGACCACGATGCCTAACGACGTGAAATATTATTTTGATCTAATCAAAATTGATAAATTAAAACACCCTTTTAATTTATCGTCAATTCACATTCGCCGTCCCTGATTGACATCTAGCAATGTGTCAGGACAATACATGTGACGGGAAATGTCACGTAGTATGACAAAACCAAATTCGTTCGTTTACCGTGAAACTATAATCCCTTCGTCAATATGATCCGATCAATTACGAGATATGGAATTGTGTCAATCTCGATCATCGATCATATCTTTCACTCCACTATTAAGTCAATATAAATCGAAAACTCCTTTTCGACTTATGAGTACACCTTGGCCAAGGATTTCATCATTGACTTAATTGAATGAAACGCAGATCATAATCTCCTACTATCTAAGAGTGACGAATCCTTTATTGATCAATCACAACCTTCATACGATTCTTGACGTACCCGAACGATGTCGTATTAGCGGCCCTTTTCAGAGCAACATCCAACACCACCAAAGTATGACTGTCCTCATATAAGGTACCATGACGACCTCAAGTCAAAGGACCAATTTCACTACCGAACGTTAGAGATTAACCACCGACACTCAGATAGTTATCCATGTGGAATCTCTCGACGGGTCTCCAATGTTTTGTTCTATAACAAACATCCACGTGTTTATTTAAGTGTCACCACATTTTAACTTGTGAGATCAGCTACTTACTTCACAAGTAAGAAATGCCACACGTGATGGTCTATCCGTAATAACGATATCCGTATCTCGTTATTACTTACGACCACGGATGATTTAAGATTCAATCAGATGTAATTTGTATCTCACAATCACAACTCCTTGTGATTAATAAATTACAAATATTTGAATCTACGGACTCTATTATTTATTTAATTGTGTATTAATTAAATAATAGATCTGCCATTTAATTTCATTAATTATATATAAAAGTATTTATGTCCAAAGTCGATTGGACCTAGGGCATAATACTTACACTGCCCCTAAAGCAGATGCTCTGTCTCTAGCAGTTGTTGCAACTCCAACTCCACCTACACCGATAAAGGTGGTGTCGACTCTATATGCCAATGAATTGGCTATGCAGCACAAGGAAGATACGATAAATTGGTGGTCACAAGGTCGTTTAGAAGAATTACACCTACGGATGTGATGCCGTGAAGGTAGTGCTAGCGTTGGACTTTTTTGTTTAATTTATTTGGGACTTATTTGTATTTTTTGAAAAAAAAAATTGGGAGTATGATTCTAATTGTTCTTTATCTTTTTATTTTTGTTTTACTTAAATAGGGGTATATTTGTCATTTTAAAATTTTAATTGAGAAATTGAATAAAAAATTTGATGAAAATGACATTTTTCACATTAAAATGTGGAAATAAGGATGAAAATACAAATTTTTGAAATGTAGGGATGTTTTACACATTAAAGGCCAAACGTAGGGACTTTTTATGCTAATAAGACTTTATTTTTCTAAGTGAAATTTTTTTAAATAATATTTTAAAAACATTATTTTAAATAAGTTTTTATTTTATTTTTTTAAAAATATGATTTATTTTTAATTTTTTTAAATATATAATACAAAGTTATCGTTTTATTCCTTTTAAAAATAATGAAAAAGGTGACAAGAAATTGTGTGGCCAGCGAAAAAAATTAAATTGGGTGGCCGTGAAATACTAACTATAAAGTTGGGTGACCATTGATGGATTTAACCTCTTTTTCTTACTTTTTAATAATGCACTTTTACACAAACACATAATTTTTGGATAGGTTTATAAATATAGGTTTTTTTTGCCACGAATGGTAATCGGATGAGCATTTGTTGGTCGAGTGGATGGGTAAAAATCTAAAAGGGGAGTAGAATGAGTATAGGAAGATGCTTGGTGTGCTACTATGGTTGCTAAGTCAAGTGCACGCTCTTGTAGATGGTTGATTGCCCAACTGTATCGTATACACTCACCGCTAATAGTGATTATTGATGAATTAAAGTTATTGAAATTTTGCTACCCTTCTAGAGGGACATTGGATGTCATAATAAGAGAAGCGTATTTTTTTTAGTGATTTATTAAGTTTTGTATTATGCACTGATGCACCAAGACCTCAACATCCCTTGGCTATTCAGCCATTAGCGTCCTAACATATGGCCAAGCTAATATTACAGCGTGCTAAGTCGCTAATGTTTTAAATATATATGAAATTGAAATAATATCTAAGTCTTTTAACTTTTGAAAAATTCAATCTTTCAGTTGGGAATTGACAAAACTCCCAAATCAAACCGATCGAATCAGATCGAGCGGTTCTTCTTAAATTAAATATTCAAATAGGTATTTGAATAGAGAGCCGACGGGTTTGATTCGGACCCAGAACCAAAGAACTGAATCTCCAAATTTATTTTTTTAATTTTTCTATATTAAAAATGTCAAATTATTTTATATTTTTCTAAATAAATTTGCAAACTAATTAATTTAACTCAAACTGATCATATGATTTTCATATTTATAATTTCCAGCTCAAGCATAAGCTCAATTTAATCAAATTAACCTAAATTATACCAAAATCTCTCATTCTACTGTACTGCCTTTTTCCCATTTCCTAGAAAAATTGAATTGGAAGCTCAATTACGCTTCTCTTCATTATTGCCATTATGGGGAAATCGAAAATGAAGCTCAATTACACGTCTCTTTATTATTGCGAGTTCACTATCTTCCTTTTTTGTGTGTGTAATTTTAACAGTCAAATCTATGAAACTCAACAAAGAGAAACGCAAAAAATATCAGTGGATTGGACTATATTATTTTTCAAGAACTAAAATCGAACATGTCATTGATTGAATTAATGTAGCGTTATTATAAATATTAAAAAAATTAATTATTGTACGGAACTCATGAACCGAAACGAATGGAACACCCTTGTTCGATTCCATAATCAGGTTTGGACTCGACAATTTCACTTACTAAATACTTGAAAATTCGAGTTCGATTCGATTCGATTTTCTTTAAAATCAAATCAATCGGACCATGTCCAACCCTAATTTCAATCATCAACAAATCTTTTTGGTCGGTCGAATTGTTAACCTTCACTTTCCATGGCACTTAAGAGTCACACTAATCAATTTAATCAAAAATGTCACATATATGCAAAAAGTTTAGTAGGTGAAAAAATTTACCACAAAAAATATTCTTAAATGGGAGGCTTGACATTTTAGAAGTTTCAAGTAAAACGTGGTTTGAAAAGTAGTTTAAATTACAGATATACAGAAAATAAGTGATTAACAAATGGATAGGATGGATAAATTCTACAAAATATATTAACGAATTATATTCAGCCAGACAAGGTGGTAAACAAATGAGTGAACTCCACAGAGCATATTCCCTGATCTGTTACAGGCCTCAAAATGGCATCCACTGGTGATAAAAAGCATCAAGCAATTCGCAAATTCACGCGCGCGCACACACGAAAAGGAGAAGGCCCTCATCATATAAAGCCAAACCCCAACGCCCCAGTCCACATACCTCATGAACCCTTGAAAATTCCATCTAATTCAATGCAGAGTCCCGTTATTGTACTGTTTTCATGGACTCTCCTCTACTCATTAACTCCCCATTAAAAGCCGTTAGTTTTTTGAATTTCTCTACTTCTCCTTCTGTAAATTACTCTGCCTTTTCTCTCTCCAGAATCAAGAAGTCCCACAAATTCAACAAATCGCGAATTGCTGTGAATTGCTTGAATCCTCGAAATCCTAACTTGTTATGGGGAAATTATGGCTCACCCATCATACCCTTTTCTTATTTAATCCCACTTTTTCACAAAGTCAAGGACTTTGCTGTGAAATCCTCAAAGCAGAACTGGACTTCTGTTTTCCAGAAATTTAGTGGGCAAGAAACTGGACTTTTGCAGAACGGGTCATTAGGGATGGCACTCATGTGTGTGACATCAACAGCCAAAGTTAAAATAAGCCCCTTTGTGGCTACATTAGCCGCCAACCCGACTTTTGTTTCGGGTTTATTTGCTTGGGCTATTGCTCAATCAATGAAGGTTTTCTTGAATTTTTGCGTAGAGAGGAAATGGGATTTTCGGATTATGTGTTCCTCTGGTGGAATGCCCTCTTCCCACTCTGCTATGTGTACCGCATTAACTACTTCTGTGGCTATTTGCCACGGAGTGGCAGATTCGTTGTTTCCGGTTTGTTTGGGGTTCAGTTTGATCGTAATGTATGATGCCATCGGTGTTAGACGGCATGCTGGAATGCAAGCGGAGGTAATTGTTTGCTCTATTGCATCTCATTCATTTCACAATTCTTAATTAATTGTTTATTCGAATAAGTATCACTTTCTGACTTGGATGTATTTATACATAATCTGAACATTTGAGACATTATAAACAAATACTAATATACCTGTGCTCTGATCTATGTAGACAAACTTTTCTAAAAAGCAGTTTGTAAGCTACTTTTAAGCACAATGAAACATATTGGTGATAATACATAGCGTGTCTAAAAGGATTCGAGGAATTTTCTTGATTGCATTTCCTTTGCTTCTTTATTGTTATTTGTTCGTTTGAATGAGTGATACTTTCTGAATTCGGTGTATTTGTTTATGATTTGGACACTTGGGACATTAGAAACAGATACCTGTGAACTGGTGCTTCTGACTACGTAGACGGCACTTTCATAAAAAGTAGTTTGTAAGCTACTTTTAAGCACAGCAAAACATGGTGGTGTTAATACATAGCATGTCTTTAATAGAGTGGCAGCAAAGTATATAACTCCGCAAAGCATATCCCCTAATCTGTTAGAGGTCTCAAAATGGCATCTCCTGTTCATAAAAATCATCAAGCAAAGGCAAATTTGCACGCTCGCGCACACAAAAAGGAGAAGGCACTAATATAAAGCCAAACTCCTACACCCCATCCCCAGCCTCTGTTCTCCACATACCTCAAAAACCCTTGAATGTTCCACATGATTCAATGTGAAGTCCTGTATCTGTACGGTTTTCATTGACTCTCTTCTTCTTATAAAATCCCCACTAAAAGCCGTTAGTTTCTCAGATTTATCTACTTGTAGTTCTGTAAATTACTCTGCTTTTTCTCTCTTCAGAATCAAGAAGTCCCGTTAAACGACTGTTAGTTTCATGGAATTTCTGTAGATTGTTTGAATCCTCAAAATCCTAACTTGTTATGAGGAAATTATGGCTCACCCATCAAACCCTTTTCTCATATTTTCGCAAAGTCAATGCAGAATTGGACCTCTGTTTTTTAGAACTTTAGTGTGCAAGGCAATTGGGTTTTGCAGAATGGGTCATTTGGATGGCACTGATGTGTGTGACATCAACAGCGAAGGTTAAGATAAGCCTGATTGTGGCTACATTAGCCGGTAACCCGACTTTCGTTTCGGGTTTATTTGCTTGGACTATTGCTCAATCAATGAAGGTTTTCTTGAAGTTATGTGAAAAGAGTGATGATGACACCATCTATTTTATTTATTTCTAGTTTATTTTTTGTTTTGGATTCTTATTTATGTAATTGGGCTTGTATCTGTCTAAGCCCGTTCTAGTTAGGATTTTGTCTTTACTATTTAAACCTAATTTTCCATGTAATTTCGTCAGTTGATGATTGAATAAAGATTTTCGGTGGCTTGTGACGAAATTCCCCCTTTTTCCCGTTCTTCTTTCCTTGTGTTTTTCCTTCTTCCATCACTTCCCCTGATTTCTTCTTCCTGATTGATTAATTTTCTCTTTCTCCATTAATTTTCTTGTTGGTGCTGCATCAAATTTGGTATCAAAGCCTAAAATTGGATAATCTCTCATCTCCAATCCAAAAATTTCTTCCCACTTCCTTCCCAAAATAAATAAATAATTAATTGTTGGAACAACACAATTGAAGAAGATTTAGCATAAGAGCAGTAGTTTTCTTTTCTTTCTTAGTTAAAAAAAAAAGAACTGTTCACGCCCGAGAAAAAAATCAGTTTTAGTATTTTTTCAGTTTGTGGAAAAAAAATTCAACTGCCGTCTCATTTACTTTGCTGCCCATCCTATATTAATTGTTGCTGTTACCTCTTCCTTACCCTAGTTCTCAATGCACAACAACCTAACCCAACACAAACATAAACCAAAACCCAAAATAACCCTAGCCCACACTTATCACCCATTACACAGACAATCCACTCACTTCCAAGCCCAATAAACACCAAACCCAGCCCACTTATCACATATTATCTTAGCCCATTACACATAATAAACCCAAACTGCCCAGTCTGGTATCCTATCTATCTTAAACCATTTAACACATAGAAGAAACCCAATCCTCTAACCTATCTTTTACAGTCTATCTTTCACAACCCAAATCCAATTCGTACCCATCACTCCACCATTGCACAACTTACTGTCAATCTCACAGCGTAACTAATTATATGTGACATCGGACGTGAACACTACATGCACAACCAGTAGCTCGACTTAGCCCCATAAGGAGCTGAAGACATCTGACTAGAAGACAGCACACAAGCATACCTAGGGACCATGCCCTAGCAACTCAAACAGCCCGACACCAGGGAGTTCTTGATCTCTATTTATTATTGGTTTATACTACTACTTCATTTTTAAAATCGCATCATTTAAATCTTTGTGTTGTTGTTACTTTGATGTTTTAGCCTTATTCCCCATTTGGTTAAAATAATTGAACGAGTTGACTTTCCATTGTTCCCCACTTGTCAACTTGATTGGAGAATTTGACTAGTGTTTGGGCCCTTGCTTTGCTATTTTACATGTATCAACAGTATTAGTTTGCAATATTTGAATTTGCTTAATCCCAAAAAAAGAGAAAAGAAAAAAGAGAATTAAAAAAAATGCTCAAATTGATATTTTGCATTGCTTTTACTTATTGTTCATTGATCTCACCATTGCACATCATTTAGCTACTAATAAAGTGCATGCATGGTGGTCGACTGGTGATATTGTCACTTCTAGTTTAAACCCAGATGACTGTTACTCTTGAACAGAGTATGGCCCTCTCTGTTAGTCTGAAAAACATTAAGCAAATCCCTTATTCGATTGATGTTAATAATTTCTGAAGTTTCACATTAGACGATATCGTCGTCGACAAGGTGACCAAAAATATTTTCAACACGATCATAGGGATAGGGATCAAGTTCGTGAGCGAGAACGAAATCATGGTCATCATGGTACTCATTCTCTTCCTCGTCATAAGGAGCGTTTCTTTAGAGACATTAAATTAGATGCTCATACGTTTGATGGTTGCTTAGATCATGAAATTTTTACTCAATGGAACACCCTTACACAAGGAAATCGGCTAGTAATTGAGTATATTGCTCAATTTGAGGAATTTCGAATGAAATGTCATGCCGTTGAGGATGAGGCCCTGACCTTGAGTATGTTCATGCAAGGTCTAAGAGATGAATTTGGGCGTGAGCTTTTCTTTCGAGGCGTCACTACTCTTGATCACGCTTATTCTTTAGCTCGAGACTGAGTTGATTATTAATCCTCCATATGAAAAGCGCGATCACTATCGTTCGCCCATGTCATTAGCGCCACCTCATCATAAGTATGTCATATACCTTTCCTTGTCTAGTGTTCCTCCCATTTGGAAAAATAAGTGTAAAGGTTGTGATAGTCCAAGGCCTTCTTTTCCATATAAAAGGTGTATTGACAATCATTCTTCTGTTTCATTAGCTCCACTTCCTCTCGTTAAGTCCCTTATAGGACCTCCCCCGTCTAATGTTCCTCCAATATTAGAAAATAAGGGTAAAATTTCTGAAATTTCAAGGACTTCTTCTTACTTGCTGTGCGTCGGCTGTAAGGACTTTGGCCACATCTCTCCCAAATGCCCTAGCCGAGCTTTAATCATGGATGAACGAAAGAATGTAATAGATGAGACGTTAAAAGATCTAGTCTATGAACCTAAATTTGAAGATTTTGATGACTTGGATAATAATGAGGACACCTCATTAGGTAGTATCTGGACTTTTCCTATGACTCTAGGTGTTATACCTCTTGTTCTCGTTACCTCTCAGCAAGTGTTGTTTATCGTACCTTTATCCAACCCAAAGGTACTGATGATTTGTGTAATCCTGCTTGGAATTTAGTCCTCCCAACTGTTCAAATTGCATATAACAGTTTTATGAATTGCTCTATAAATCTAAGTTGTTTTGAAGTTGTTCCTGATTATAAGTCTAGGAGACCGTTAGACCTTATTTTCATGTCCCCACATGCTAGTGTGTCGATATTAGCAGGAGCATTTGTCCATTATCTCCATGACTTGCATATTGAGATCCATAAACAACATGACGCAAATAATGCATTATATAAATTTCAAGCTGATTCGCATAAAAAATATTTTGAATTTAATATTGGGGATTATGTTATATTGCAAATTTGTAGTGCCGATCCTTTTAAAATTTTAAGGCATGTTGGTGCAAATGCACATGTCATTGCTCTTTCATCACATTTTGGCTACCACTCTACTTTAAATACTGAGGACTTCATTACTTACAAACCGTTTTAATTCCTTTGATGATCCTTTTTTATTTTAGCTTTGTGGACCCCCAACTTGATTATGTTGATATTTTTACTTTAATACCATCTGTCACAGCATACAAAGATAAAATTGATGTTGTTTTAAATGAACGTGTTGTATTGACCAATAATGGGAAGATTTAGTATTTCCTTGTTTGTTGGGTAGGTTGACGTACTTCTTGTGCTCCTCATTATGTACAATCATATGAAAATTTTAGAGATGAGGTGTATGAGTACTGGTTATTTGGAGTCCAGTATCGGTACTTGGTTAGAAGGAAAGAACGTTCCCTTCGGCCAGATCATATTCTTGGGGATAACCTACAGTTTTCAGTACTATCAATCATGGAATTTCGATACTTGGTTCGTCAAAAAGATCGTCCCCCGTGGCTTGACTTGAAGTATTTTGGGTATTAGATTGACTACAGCCTATAGTGATCTATCAAGTCGACAGAGTTGAGTTTTTCTCCCCCCGGGACAATTGATGAGGACGTTATCTATTTTATTTATTTCTAGTTTATTTTTGTTTTGGATTCTTATTTATTTAATTGGGCTTGTATCGGCCCAAGCACAAGCCCGTTCTAGTTAGGGTTTGTCTTTACTATTTAAACCTAATTTTCCATGTAATTTTGTCAGTTGATGATTGAATAAAGATTTTTGGTGGCTTGTGATGAAATCCCCCCTTTTCCCTGTTCCTCTTCTTTTTCTTCTTTCCTTGTTTTCTTCTTCTTCCATCCCTTCCCCTGATTTCTTCTTCCCGATTCATTAATTTTCTCTTTCTCCATTAATTTTCCTGTTGGTGCTACGTCAAAGAGGAAATGGGATTTTAGGATTATGTTTGCCACTGGTGGAATGCCCTCTTCTCACCCTGCCTCATGTATTGCGTTAACTATATCTGTGGCTATTATCCATGGAGTGGTGGACTCATTGTTTCTGGTTTGTTTGAGGTTTAATTTGATCGTTTTGTATGATATTATTGACATCATGCAGGAATGCAAGCATTTCCTTTGTTTGCCATTTTATAGTTAATTGTTTATATAAATGAGTATTGCCTTCTGAATTGGATGTATATGTATATAATTTGGACTTGATACATTAGAAACCAATACCTATATAATAGTGCTTCAATCATCATTGCTTAAAAAGCTGCTTTTCAAAATTATACATGGACACGTTTTTGTAAAAAATAGTTTATGGGCTACTTTTTAACACAGCAAAATATGTTGGTGTAAACGCATAGCATGACTTAAAAGGATTCAAGGAAATTTCTTAAAACACTTAAACTGCTATGAAGAGACTCGTGGAATGGAATTTTCCCAGATCAAAGCTTTCAATTGAATACTTATGTTAGCATTCCATGCAAGTATTAACCATTATACTTGTTTCCATACTGCCCAGATACAAGCTATGCCTTGAACTGTGATATTTTTGTTCAAAAATCTAATCTTCTTGGTTTTAAATATTTGAGATGCTAGCCTTATGCCTTTTTGACTTGTCACAAGTTTCTCCTACGTTGTATGCTAATAAAAAAGGTGAAACTTATTACAACTCAGGATGTATTAAATGCTCATCTAATAGAGCCTTTCCTTTGGCTGGGTGAGAATTGAAAAACACATGTTGGTCACACAGTACCCTCCGTGGATTGAAAATCTATAATCTTGATTTGCTATGCCCGTTCGAACAACTTCACTTTATCTTGTCTTTCTTTGATAAGAATCAATAGGAGGGGAAGCACGAATCCCTTAGATGTTTTCGAAAGTTTTAGGATAACATGAAGAGGTTTACACCATGTCATTTGTTATGCAGCCAGCTTTGGTCATGCCTGTTCGATGCAGAGTTACCATTACTCAGCAACATTTGTGTTGTCAAGTATTAGGCTCATACAAAATAATAGAATAGCAGTAAGAGGCCTAAACTAGCAGATTTTAGACTCTGGAATTTCATATTCTGCTCTGCTGTAACTTTTGACCCAATTCAGACCAATTTTTTCTACTGTAATTATTTTGTATTTTTAAACTTTGCCGCGGAATTTGGCTTTGTGCATTCAAAAAGTTTTTTCAATCATTAGCCATTACAACTATAACCGTGAATTGCGTTAATTTTTGAAATGATTACTTTTCTGTTGCGTTATGCTTGTATGAATGCATACTGCAGTTTCTTCCGTATTGACCTTATGATATTAATAATTCTCTTATGGAAACTTGCAGTTGTATTTGACCTTGGGTTTAAATGGATTGCCAATGCTCATACTTAAGCTTCAATTCAAAAGAAGCATTTGCACCTTCTTTATGCCCTGGAGTCCCCAAAACTGAATTTGTTTGTAGTTGGAAGCTTCAATTGATGTTTACTAATTTAAATTATTCAAATAAGTGATGTGATAATGAATAGATATGTACAAACTCGAGTGGTTAAGGAAAGTGTTATTGGTTTTTGGTAATGCTTTTGTTTGCTAAATTTGTTTAAGTACATGAATAAGTTTGCGAATGGATTATTTATAGCCGGGACACTGGAGCAATGAACTGAGATTGTTGGCATTTGCACCCTTCATTTGATGACATTGATATATAGATATTTTTGCATTTTCTTATGATTGTTGAATTAGTTCATGGGATTAAAACCAATACTATGTCCTTCAATAGTTGGCAATCGGCATGCAACTTCCACAGTAGTACTTCATTAATATGTCTAAGAACATGTTCTGCTAAGCTCCAGAGTAAGGAAGAGTGATTTTTTTGCTTCCAAGCATGTTTGGAAGTTACTTTTTTCTTACATTTGAAGTTCAAAACATCACTTATTTTATAAATAACTCTTATCTTATTGTCAAAATAAGTGATCGACCTATTTCTGACTTTTACTGATGAAAGGATTTATCATTTAAGAACTTAGGTAGTTACTTTTTAAGTAAAATTTTGAAACTTAGCCAGTCACGCTATTACTGTGGTTCTTGAAGCTTTAGACGACAATTCCTACTCTTTGCTATTGTGACAGAATATGCTAATCGCTTGCGTATTATGTGCAATTATTGTTAAGTAAATGATCTTATTTCTTTGATATAGGTTCTCAATCTGATCGTTGAGGACTTATTCCAAGGGCATCCAGTGAGCCAAAGAAAGCTCAAAGAACTTCTCGGTCACACTCCGTCCCAGGTTCTTGCTGGAGCTCTGCTTGGAATAGTGGTAGCTTGGATATGTTGTCGGGGTTGCTTGATTACGAGCTAATTTACTCCCTTGGTAAATTACAAAGACATGTTATACCAGTTGATACTTTTATTCGACTATGAACCCTTGATGTTTTTGTGAATGACTGCAATGTTAAATGTACACGCAGGTTTTCCTTTGAACATTCACTTATAATCGTCCGATTTGATTAATGGGAACCTTTACAATACGGTTAGCCTTGTCTAGTGGTATACAAGTTCAAGGATATAACAAATGCGCGTTTTAATACTATTTACGAAACATGTATTTAGGACTAATACAAGGGTTGATGTCGAAATTTATTGTTGTCTAATGAGCAAAGTTGTATATATTGTTCATAAAATACTAGAATTGCCAAATTTGTTAAGAGTATTTGTCACTTCTATTTTTGACCAATCATACTAAACTTTGAAGTAAACAAAACTTACGTTAAAAACTACGTTCTTCATTTGGTAGAATACATTGGAGAGCACTGATTAGATAGAAGTAAAATGTTAGTATTTTTTTTATCTTAATGTTGAGTCTTGTAACTAGTGATGTCGGACATTTAAAGTTCTTGTTTGATTCTCTCAACAAATTCATTTTCTTTTTTCAAAACCATTTTTTTTTCTACAAACAAAAGCTCGTCATTGATGCACGCCATGTTTCGATCCACGAGGATGATTCAACATAAGTCATAGGTCATATCAGAATTCGGTTCAATTAAAAAATAAAAAATAAAAATAAAAAATATGATCGGAAGATTAAGAAGTATCAAATAATTATAATATAAAAGAATGTTAAAAATTACGTTTCACCAATCATCATCATTGTTAATTAATTTCATCCATCACAAGGGACCTAACGAACATAAAACACCTACCTTGATGGCCAATTTACTTCAGACACAATCATACCACCCTTATCCCTCACTCAAATTCATCTGAATATTAACCTCACCTTACACCAACCTCCACCACAACCGCCCATAGCCTCCACCGCGGCCACCACCATTTCTCTCCGGTCATAAGGCATTAACCCTTAAAAGGAAAAACTTACTTTAATCCCCAAAGCAGCATGATTGATGACGTGGAAAATCTCTTTTTTGTTCTTGATAAAAAGTAGCAAGCCCACTAAATTCCATTCTTTATTTTCAGTCCCATAGATTTTTGCTAATTTTCTCTCACTAAATCACTGTACAAGAAATGCAGCAACCTCAATTTCCTAGATCTGATGACCGTTATACGAAATCCAACCGTGGGAGTACGAATTTAGCATCATGTATAGCGGCTACAGTCTTCTTGCTTTCAATTGTTGCCGGCGCAGTCGCGGTTTACTTCTTCCTGTTCAAGCCTAAACCACCGAAAATCGCCGTCGACGCCGTGCAGTTCCCGGCATTCTCCGTCACGAATGGCACCGTCAATTTCGAATTCTTCCAGTTCGTGACAGTGACCAACCCCAACCGCGACGAATTTTCTCACTATGACAGCTCTTTGCAGCTCGTCTACTCCGGGGAGCCGATGGGTCTCGTGTTCATTCCCGCCGGAAGGATCGGTGGCGGCGGCAGTCAGAAAATGTCCGCCAAATTTGATGTCCAGAAGTACCCCCTCCCAACTCCGGCCAAAGCGGTCGTTAGCGGGGGTGATGGCGGATTAGGGTTCGACAACAGTAATAGTTTCAGCAATGGTGGAATTCTGGCCGGGAACACAATGGAGATTGAGACTCGGATGAAGTTAGTAGGGAGGGTCAGGGTTTTGAAGGTATTCACACATAAAGTGGATAGTGGAGTTAGGTGTGGTGTGATAATTGAGGTTACTAGAGGTACTGTATTAGGCGTCCATTGCTGATATTTTTAGAATTCTTAGCGAAGAAGACGACATTCTTAAAGTTAATGTGAAGCTTCTTCTGCAGAAATTTGCAGTTGTATTGTGTGAATGCTATTTGCTACGTGTGTAGTTAAGTTGATTGATGAAATTGTTGAGTGCACCAAAATCGTGTGCTTTCAACCACTTGTAGTATTATTTACGATATCGTGTAAAAATGAATGAAGGTGATTCTCCTTGCCAATTATAATCACTTTGATTTGTATGTTTATGGGGTCTCTTTATTATGCTGCCTATCAAGTTCTTGATGATCACATTCAGAATTGCTAACGACGACGAAGGACTTTTCCCTACAAACCACTCGGTTCATCTAGGGACTATTTTGGACACCGAACAGCACGTAAGCTAACGTGCCAACTCTCGAGTGGTCCAAAACCAGTGGTCTAGGGTCAAGAGTTGTATCGTTAGAAACTTTTACTTCGGTTGATGATCATCAACACAACGTGTCAACACTTCCAGACAGGAAACGAACAGAGTAGAAGAAACTTGTGTCTGATTCATAAGTGCTGTTCATTGACAAAATCCTTGGTTCTATTGACACTAAAATTTACATAGTGCTGAACATGAGTCAAGAGTAGACTCGTCTGCATACACAGAGACTCTTGACGGCAT